ACATGTGTCCAAGTGAGCGAGTGTACTCTGGATCTATTGTAACGCGCAAGCAGATAAGGCCGGTCAGCTTGCAAGGGCTCACAGCAGATACCATGCGCTAATTATTATATGAAACGCGCTACGCTCTGTAGGTGCGTCAGCATTATTGACAGCGCCATAGTCAGTTTACCGTATGTGCGGCTCCAAGCCTCGTACCGTCAGCCAGTTTACAAAATACAAAGATGGGTAGGAAAATGGGGGCCTACAGTGCCGCACGCTGCCCCGTCCGCTGATTGTACGGAACGCGTAACCGTACTGCAGCTTCCCGCAGCAGACACAGCGCGCCTGGGAATCCGTTGCGGGTTCTGCAGAAGCGGGTCAATCTTCGCCTCGCATTGCTTGCAGGTAGGGCCCACCATTTTGCAAACGGTGAGTATGTTAGCAAATTATATTGTTTTAACCAATTACTTGCGTCCAAATATTAGCCAATAGCACGGAAATATAATGCTGGTATTTATTATTTAGAAACATATTAAAAAGTTGATATTTAATATTTTGGCTTTGCTATAATAGTACTTTTATCATATTTCCAAACAAATACATACTTTACATGCAATATAAATTGACTAAAACAATTATCTATCGTGCGCGCATGCATTCGTCGAGTGCGGTGCACGGGAGCAGGTACCGCAATGACCGTGCACCCGCGTGGCATTGGTGAGTGCCAGGTGAAGTAAAAAAGACTCGCAAAGTCCCAACAAAAAGCGCTGGTTGTGAAGCCTACTTTAATATTAAAAAATACTATCGTCTCTACTTTAGAAAGTCTGTGGAAAATAGCATCGCCGAGCTCTTACAAATGCGGCCTGTAAAGCTAATACTAATACTATTAATTTCGTCTTTACTTTGAAAAGTGTGTTAAAAATAACATCCCAGAGCTCTTACAAAATACTGGTCTGTGAAGTCTACATAAATTTTAATAAATATCTCTATTTGAGAAGTGTGCAGAGCTCTTAGAAAATAAAGGGGTTACTATGCCCGATTTGCAGTACATACGACAGGTTTGGCGTAGCTAAACGTCAATAATCAAGTATCTGCGCAGCTCGCCTGGCTGTTTGCAGCCAATCGATGTGTTTCATTCTCGGCAGAAATGTTTACCTTACGTCCAATCGCGAGGGCGAGAGAAGGTCTGGTCGTGCGACAGATCCAGTCAGTGTCGCAGGTCGGCAGGTATTGCCCAATCAGGGCGCGAGTTAATTGTGTAACGCTTTTGGATATATTTGTAATTTTAGCATAGTTAGGTCGAGTCAGAAAGGTAGGCACGGTCGGTACGATGGGAGGAAACTGTATTAGACAGGCCGACTGTAGTCATGCGAAAAGGCAGGAAAAAGCAGCAAGAAAGGAGCCGGACGGACTTATTGACAGATGGACGGACACGCTGCAACTTTAGGTGGCGGGAAACTAGCGCTCTGGGCGCCCGCTCCGCGGACGCTAGGGCATGGTTGGTTGGTGTAGAGAGGGCCGACCACCTCCGCTGCGCTGCGGTGGGCTTAGAGTTTCTACTCAGCGCAAAGCTACATGTAATAAGTGCATACTGTGCTATACTTATGTTACGTTCCAAAACAACTCCGCATACAATAACCTTAGTGTTCACATGTTATGGTAGACATGACCAGGATTTAACGTGATCTGCAAGAAGAGCACCATCTTACCCGGGAAGGCTTTGTTTATAATCTCGTTTGAGCGTATTGCTCCCAAAATGAAACGAATCGGAGGCGCGCGTGGTTGCAAAGCTAATATATGCTGTACGGAAGACGGGTCAGTATCAATGATGCTACGAAATATACGTTGATCTGTGAGGAATCCCAGTGTAGCTAGAGTAAGTACGCCTACTCAAACGTATTTTACCCATCTGCACGTCATCGCCGTAAGGCAGTCGACACATATCATCGATTGCGACGGTCGAATAGAGCAATGTTAATCAGCTCCGCGCGCGAAGTATCTTTTAGGATAGGTAGTATATGCCGATGGTCGCCACAAACATCAATATTATGCTTTGAAATTATTCTGCTGAGCTGTTTGTGATGTAACTGAAGGGTATTTCCACTATCTTCCGCATGCATTTATCTTACTTGCATAGCTGACGTACTTTCTGACTTATTTGTATAGCTTCTGACTGACAGAGTGGCGTAAATCCTTTCCGACTGACATTATACTGGGTCCGATATGTACGACAAAAGGCCTCGTCCACATCGGACGAAGAGGCACCACTGCGTGCACATTCTTTTGACCGGCTGCAACATACGAAGATATATGGCTGTAGGCAGAGCATCAGATCGTAGTGATGGTTAGACTTGAATTGAATAATAGTTCATGTACATTAGATGGAGTACTTTCGCTGCCTACTTATCAGCTCGGCGTGCTATTTGATGTGTCCGTGCATATCCCGCAATGCCGCCAATGGGTGTTGTCGTGATAGCCAACACCCATGCACTGGGTTACTGCTGCGATCTCGGTACTTTTGTATCGTCGTGCTAGCCTACTGTACCTACGATTATGATGTATCCGTCTATATGATCCAGCACGTCACTATTCGGGCACAGGTCATACCCGCGGTGATACAGGCAAGCTGATCAGGCGTCTGTTAGCAGTATTCAAAGCAATATATACGCGCGCGGCGGGTACACATTATAGCCATCCGTGACTCAACCGAGCTCTTATCTCGGCCATTATGGACAGGGCGCTAAAGTAAAGTACTGCGTACAGACACATCTCCTTGCGATGGCCGCTTGTATGGTCATCACTACCGCATACGTGGTTGTGTCCATGTAGACAGCAGCTTATTCATGGCGCATAGTGCTCACTCAATACTGAAGCTTACATTCGTGAGCGCACATTAGTGAAATATAAACTGTGAGGGTTGGTGGTACATATAGCATGGGTTTGCGTGTGCCAAGTGAGCAAGTGTTCTTAACATCTACGGTTACGCGTATGCAGATAGGAACGGCCAGCTCGCAAGGGTACACAGTAGATACCATGCGCTAATTATTATATGAAACGCGCTACACTCCGTAGATGCGTCAACACAATTGGCAGCACCACAGTTAGTTTACCATATGTGCGGCCCCAAGCCTCGCGCCGCCCGCCAGTATACAAAATACAAAGATAAGCGGGGTAACGGGGGCAATAAGGATATATTATCCAAATTACTAGCTCTTCTGCTGCTTCTTTTGCTCGATGTAATTGGCGTTTCGGGCGGTCAGCTTGCGAGGGCGGCTGCGCCTCTTTTTCTTCTTGGGGTACCAGTCAGGACCCATCGCCTTCTTGACGTTCGCCAGGCTTTCCTGGCGGCGCACTTCGGCCGAATCAGGTGGTGGGGGCTTTTCCTCCGAAAACTCAACCGCATTTTGGGCCGTTCTCGCAGGCAATACAGCGCCGCACGATGTCCCGCCCGCTGATTGTACGGAATGCGTAGCCGTACTGCAGCTTCCCGCAGCAGACGCAGCGCGCTCGGGGGTCCGTCGTAGACCGCTGCGGGTTCAGCAGAAGCGGGTCAATCTTCGCCTCGCATTGCTTGCACGTAGGGCCCACCATTTTGCAAACTGTGCGTATGTTAGCAAAATATTTTGTTTTAACCAATTACTTGCGTCCAAATATTAGCCAATAGCTTGGAAATATAGGCTGGTATTTATTAATTAGAAACATATTAAAAAGTTGATACTAACGTTTTGGCTTTGCTATAATATATTATTATCAGATTTCCAACCAAAAACATACTTTACATGCAATATAAATTGCCTAAGACAATTATCTATCGTGCGCGCATGCATCTGTCGGGTGTGGTGCACGGAAGCAGATAGCGAAATGCCCGTGCAGCTGCGCGCCTTCATTGCACGGTGGCAGTGGTGAGTTCCAGGTAAAGTACAAAATATATATATTCGCAAAGTCGCTACAAAAAGCGCTGGTCGTAAAGTCTACTTTAATATTAAAAATACTATCGTCTCTACTTTAGAAAGTGTGTGGAAAATAGCATCGCCGAGCTCTTACAAATGCGGCCTGTGAAGCTTATATTAATCATATTAGTACTATTAATATCGTGAAAAGTGTGTGGAAAATAACATCCCAGAGCTCTTACAAAATACTGGTCTGTGAAGTCTACATTAATAATGATAAATATCTCTATTTGAGAAGTGTGCAGAGCTCTTAGAAAATAAAGTGGTTAATGTGCCCGATTTGCAGTACATACGACAGGTTTTGCGCAATAATCAAGTATCTGCGCAGCTCGCCTGGCCGTTTGCATCCAATCGGTGCGTTTCGTGCTATGCACAAATGTTTACATCACGTCCAATCGCGAGGGCGAGAGACGGTCTGATCGTGCAACAGATCCAGTCAGTGTCGCAGGTCGGCAGGTATTGCCCAATCAGGGCGCGAGTTAATTGTGTGACGCTTCTGGACATATTTGTAATTTTAGCATAGTTAGGTCGAGTCAGCAAAATAGGCGCGGTCGGTAGGATGGGAGGAAACAGTATATGACAGGCCAAGTGTAGCCATGCGGAAAGGCAGGTCAAAGCAGGAAGAAAGGAACCGGACGGACTTATTGACAGACGGACGGACAGACAGGTTACTCGGTAAGGAAGCGGGAAATTTCTTGTCGTCTGTAACGCCTTTCTTTTCTTTCTGGCTTTAATGCACATAACACTGATTACATCCCTTTTATTACAAATGGACCTCCCTAGAAATGGCCCTCTTTATTAATAGTTTGGCCCGGCACTTCTTCTCTCTCAAATGATTTGTCTGATACTTCATGGGATGAGCACTGCCACATTATGTTCCGTGATCAGATCTTTTTGTGGGCTCATCGCTTCACATCGTGTCCCAAGCTGGCTGTACGATTCGTACAATGGCAATACCGGTACGCAACCCAACCGGCTACTTGCTACGCTCCATTCGTAGTACGAGTTGCATCTGCCTCATTATTCGTTTTTCCGGCGGTGTGCACCATCCCATCTAATCCGACCTGAAGAATGCTAAGCTGCAAGGAGCTTCTGAACGCTGCGGTGCTTCTAGCTGTGGTTGGCGTGCCTAGCTCTGCAGCCTCGACATCGGACCCTGCGTCAGCTAAGTATTCGGTGTCTGCTTACGCTGTTGGTGACTGGGGCCAAACGCTAGACAAGGGATCATGCTGTGGCGGCACATATAACAACTTCGATCTCCATGCTCAAGAAATTGTCGGGAAGCTCATGGACATCCAAGCCGGCACCGCCGTGAAACCCAAGGCTGTCCTCGGCCACGGTGACAGCTTCTACTGGACGGGTATCGACAGTCTGGAAAGCCGCGACTCGCGTTTCCAGACGACGTACGAGTCCCGATACAACGGCGACAACATCAAGAACGTGCCCTGGGTGAACGTCATGGGCAACCACGACTATGGTGGTGCAAACTATGTCTGCAATGTCGGTGACCAACTCGTCCAGTGCAACAGCACGGCCGAGATGCTTCAGGGACTTGAAAACAAGTTCCGGTACCAAAAAGACTACACTAGTCCTAACGACAACCGCTGGGCTTTGGAAGACCGTTTTTACGTCCGTCGCATCGAGGATGCTGCAACTGGTGTGAGCATCGACATCTTCAACATCGACATGAACGATGCCGACATCGCCGGCTCGCACGGTGTCTGCTGTCAGTGCTATGGCTACGCAAAGCAGGACAGCGGTGGATGCAATAGCATCGCCCGTGGGGATAAATATTGTTGTGGTGGAGACAACACGATGTACGACACGTGCATGGCCAAGTTCGTGCAGTGGGCCGAGGAGTCACGCACGCTTCTGGCCAAGCACGCGAAGGCGTCGACAGCGACGTGGAAGATCGTGAACAGCCATTTTAGTCCCATCCAGCACTACAAGGAGGACGGCATGCACAAGTGGCTCGATGCACTGAAAGGCACGGGTATCCACGCTTTCATTTACGGTCACACCCACGGTGAGAAGCACGATTATTCGGAGTCGCATCGCATCCACTTTGTGGAGAATGGTGCTGGTGGCGGTACGAAGAAAGAGTTCGCGAGCACCATTCCGGCGTTTGCGACCCAGTATGTGAAAAAGGAGTGGGCGTTTACGGGAGACGAGTACGGTTTCTTCTCGGTGGAGGGCTCCAAGGACTGGCTGAAATTGCAGTACCACACCGCGGACAGCAACTGGAAGTTCACCGAGAAGTGGGCTGAGACGACTATTGGAGGTGTGGCGACCAAGCACTGCTGGTACGTCCCGCATGATGGCTCCGAAGGCAAGGCATGCTAGCTGCAGTTCTGAAGTGGGATGACAAACTTGGCTCTTGGAGAAATTTAATTTCATATTTTGCACGTTTTTTTTCGATGTGCAGATGAATCCTTCCCTGCTCAAATAAATATTTGGTTCTCGAAGTCTTGTAAAATTACAGATTACGAAAATGCGAATTGGGTGGATAATGCATCTGCATACCTCGAGTAATCGAAACCACCACGTCGTGGCCCACGACTCGTGGCCCACGAGGCTACAAAGACTTATGTTTGCGCTGGTAGCTCAATCCCAGTTTTTTTGGCCAGTTACGGGCGCAGTTGAACGAAATGCATCATCGGTGCCAGAATTGCAATTTCAAAAGTCCAATTTTGGGCTGTGAATCATCGTGGGTCACGGTTTTTCAAACTCGCATTATTGTAAACTGTACCTAAAAAGGTCGGCCTAATAGCTTACATATGCTGACTCACAATTGGTACATTAGCAAATACAAGTATGGACACAGATGAACCCTTCGGTAGTCATTGCGTTGGGAGCCAGCACTTTATTCCTAGCTAAGGGGGTTCTTGCTGTGGGGTGGCTCAGGTGCACCTTCGAAATGGCACGTTTACAGAAGCCAACTGACGCCACCATGCTATCGAAAGCGACCAAGTTGACGTTCGGCAAGCGGTGGTATGGAGCATCGACTGTTGGAAACACACTCGCATCGGTGACGGAACTGCTGATTCCACCAGATGAGAACGTGTACGACGACCCACTAATGAAGAGTTTTGCGGAATAGAGAGCTGTGAGACGAGCTAAACAGGAAGGAAGGGTGCAAGTAGCAAGTGGCCTTGCTTGCCTACTTTGGGCGGTTTACACAATAGTGACTTTCCTACAGTTAAGCGCCTCAGAACAGTCATTTTTGGCTATTTTGTTTTCCATATTCCGAGGCAGGGGTGAGAGGTATTTTTTTATCTTAGGCATGTACTACGAAGTAAATTACAAGACTTCGAGAACCAAATATTTATTTGAGCAGGGAAGGATTCATCTGCACATCGAAAAAAAACGTGCAAAATATGAAATTGAATTTCTCCAACTTTGTCAGCCCACTTCAGAACTGCAACTAGCATGCCTTGCCTTCAGAGCCATCATGCGGGATGTACCAGCAGTGCTTGGTCGCCACACCTCCAATAGTCGTCTCAGCCCACTTCTCGGTGAACTCCCAGTTGCTGTCCGCGGTGTGGTACTGCAATTTCAGCCAGTCCTTGGAGCCCTCCACCGAGAAGAAACCGTACTCGTCTCCCGTAAACGCCCACTCCTTTTTCACATACTGGGTCGCAAACGCCGGAATGGTGCTCGCGAACTCTTTCTTCGAGCCACCACCAGCACCGTTCTCCACAAAGTGGATGCGATGCGACTCCGAATAATCGTGCTTCTCACCGTGGGTGTGACCGTAAATGAAAGCGTGGATACCCGTGCCCTTCAGTGCATCGAGCCACTTGTGCATGCCGTCCTCCTTGGAGTGCTGGATGGGACTAAAATGGCTGTTCACGATCTTCCACGTCGCTGTCGACGCCTTCGCGTGCTTGGCCAGAAGCGTGCGTGACTCCTCGGCCCACTGCACGAACTTGGCCATGCACGTGTCGTACATCGTGTTGTCTCCACCACAACAATATTTATCCCCACGGGCGATGCTGTTGCATCCACCGCTGTCCTGCTTTGCGTAGCCATAGCACTGGCAGCAGACACCGTGCGAGCCGGCGATGTCGGCATCGTTCATGTCGATGTTGAAGATGTCGATGCTCACACCAGTTGCAGCATCCTCGATGCGACGGACGTAAAAACGGTCTTCCAAAGCCCAGCGGTTGTCGTTAGGACTAGTGTAGTCTTTTTGGTACCGGAACTTGTTTTCAAGTCCCTGAAGCATCTCGGCCGTGCTGTTGCACTGGACGAGTTGGTCACCGACATTGCAGACATAGTTTGCACCACCATAGTCGTGGTTGCCCATGACGTTCACCCAGGGCACGTTCTTGATGTTGTCGCCGTTGTATCGGGACTCGTATGTCGTCTGGAAACGCGAGTCGCGGCTTTCCAGACTGTCGATACCCGTCCAGTAGAAGCTGTCACCGTGGCCGAGGACAGCCTTGGGTTTCACGGCGGTGCCGGCTTGGATGTCCATGAGCTTCCCGACAATTTCTTGAGCATGAAGATCGAAGTTGTTATATGTGCCACCACAGCATGATCCCTTGTCTAGCGTTTGGCCCCAGTCACCAACAGCGAAAGCAGACACCGAATACTTAGCTGAAGCAGGGTCCGATGTCGAGGCTGCAGAGCTAGGTATACCAACCACAGCTAGAAGCACCGCAGCGCTCAAAAGTTCCTTGCAGCTTAGCATTCTTCAGTAGTTGGCTGGAGTAGATGGGATACGGCCGGAAAATCGAATAATGAGGCAGAAGCAACTTGTCTCTACGGGTGACAAAACGTCGATGTCAATAGCCTATTGGTGGCTGTCGGTCCACGTATGCAAGCAGGAAGCAAACGTAGTACGCAACCCAACCGGATATATGTTACGGTCCACTTGGTACACTATCCTGAACTACCAGTTCAGGGTCATATACGATGAAAAACGGGCAAGGCAGCAAAATAGATCCTATGGGCCATAGCACGGGAGCGATAATGCACTTATTGTGCTTTGCAGCGATTTTGGTAAGATTTGCCCGATTTATAAGTAGGTAAAAAAGGCAGCCCGTCATCGTAAATGCTTGTGAAAAAAAGAACCATGGCCTAATTTTTTTTAGCTAGATCTTTGTCTAAATCCACCAGCATATATCGAAAATGATCTCGTGGCCCACGAGGCTACAGATTGCTATTTCAAAGGCCCATTTCTAGCCACGGTTTATTACCTACCAGGATGATTTATTTTAATTTGGCCAGATTTCGGTTAATTTTAACCCCTTGAACGCGAAGGTTTTCCAGGGCACCCATTTACCGAAACCCTTTCGACGTTAACGTGTATATCGGGGAAGGGTTTTAATAGTTAGACTGGTATAAAATTAATCCTGTAGGATGGTTAAACGCATTGAATACCAGCACCTAGGATGGTGAAAATTTGATATCGTGTATCCTACAAGAATACTTGACTTTGAAATACACTATGCCAAGATATCGTGTCCAGGAACGTACAAAAACTGCTCACAGCCCAGCGTACTTTTCTCCTAAATATAGACTTCAAGCTCAGGTAAAAAGGGAGATACAGATTTCATACTTTTATCAAGACATTTAAGATTGCAAAATCATCTGCTTAAGGTGTCGCAGCGTCGTTGTGACGTCTCTTTGACGGCCTACTGGTGTCATCATCCCCGCTGTCACCACTCGCAGACTTTGCTTCTTCGACACTACCGGCTGCTGGCCTGCGCGCGCGGATCTTTCGCTTTCTCTGTGACGGCGGCAACAGGCTGCCGTTACGCCAATGCTTGTGCCAAATCTCGAAGCACGAAACGGACTCACCGTTGTTTACATGCTTGTCCTTGTTGCACAGGTACACACGCGACGCCACGGGCTGCTTTGAGCTTGTGTGTAGCTTGCAGGTGCTACAGTAGAATGTAGTCTCGCCCCCTCGCGACTCGTCGGAGCCCTTAAGCACCGAGCATACTTTGCATGCTCGTTGACGTCGCTTTCGACCTTTCCCGTTGTTTCCATCCCTCCACTCATCCACCTGCACCGGTACGTGGGTTCGCTGCATTGGCGGAGCGCGTGACTTCTTCGGGGTACGCTCCACCGCGCGGAGAGCATCCCAATCCGTCTCCTGCAACTGCGTCAGCTCCAAATGTAGCTGCTTCAGGAACTGGACATGGCTGAGCTTGGGTTTTCCATCAATAGCACGCCGTCGATTGTACACAATAAAAACATTGACTGTTGCCAGGTCGATGAAGCCCAGAAAAAATGACTTGTAGTATTTCTTATACTTTAGAGCCAATTGAAAAGAGTACCTGATACAGCATGAATTATACAGGGTTAGCATCAACACTATCTTGTACATACAGCAGAAATGTACTCACCTTTGGAGGCGAAGTTGATCGTGTACATCAACTCCGCCCATGAAAGTTTGGTAATGTTTCAGCACTCTTGGACATGCCACCTCGACTTGCTCGCCAGACTTCGCTCGGCGAACTACGCGATCTTGCTCAGTACTTCCACCCGCACACAGCAAATGCACAGGACGGTTGTCCCACCAACACACTGCTTTCATACTCGGCACTAATGTTGACTCGGCAACAGCGTAGGTACCGCGGTGTACATCAGCAGGCCGCTTCTTCTTCTTCACGATAATCTCTTTGCAAAACCCACGCCGGTTGGTCATCACTGTGCCTATACTATAGAGCCCCATTGCTAGGAGCTGCATGGAGAGTGTCGGTGACGTGTACAATCGGTCAGTGACCACTAGACGTTTTTCGATGGTCCATCTTGCTCCAAAAACTTGCCTCAGGTTGCGAATAACGGCAGCTGGTCCACAGTTGGTGTCCTTCGAAGAGGATGACCTGTCCGTTTGCCGCTTACCTCAGTAGACTTCAAACCTGTATCATACACATTTATGTTGTTACATACTTGTATCCTACAGCTAAAGAGAACTTTACAACCAAGTCGAGACTCCATAAACGCCGCTTAACGTTTTCCGTCTTTGGATGCTCCAGGGTCTTGCACGGATACTTCTTGTCACCACGAAAAGGAAGATGAAATATGGGTGAGCATTTAACGTAGCGTTGGTGATGTGTTAATCGACTTATAAAAATACGATCACTGATACAGTGCAACATATTTTATGAGAAGGGACTTCCTTTCAAAGTCGCCAATACTTGAAGTTAAGTACGAACACCAGTTAGTGCCCCATTAGAAAGGAGCAGATCAGATTAAAAACAAATACCCGCTTTTTTCAAATACGATACTTCTTGGGGTGTTCTCTTCATCAAGAGTTATATCACTAGTTTCCTTTTTTGCTATTGGAACCCCCTTTTATTAATAACTACATTTTTATTAATAGAGCA